CCACAGGCGCCCGCGGCCAGGCCCAGCTAATTTTTTGCATATTTAGGAGAGACGGGGTTTCATCGTGTTAGCCAGGATGGTCTCGATCTCCTGACCTCGTGATCCGCCCGCCTTGGCCTCCCAAAGTGCTGAGATTACAGGCGTGAGCCACCGCGCCCAGCAACAGTAATTTTATACATCCCCACTCCTTATGGTCGCTTATGAGACATTCAATACCCGATTCTAGTCCTTAAGCAAAATAACACCGACAATCATTAGCCCTCTGCGAGTGTGGGAACGACGCCAGGCCGGAAGGAGAGCGCGCTCTCAGCCACGCCCCGCCCGGCGCCCGCCTTCGCCCCGCCCAGTCGTCGCCGGAGGTCACAGGGCCCAAGCTTCTAGAGGCGTGGCCAGGCCCCAGTCCCCACCCCTCTCCCCTGCGCTCCAGCAGGTTCGACCCATGCTCCGCCCCCAATCCAAGGCCCTGGCCCCTCCGCCTGCACCCCCGCAGGCCCCGCCTCTTAGAACCCGACACCTCCGCCTGCGCAAGCCGGCTCCCAAGTTTTATCTCTCAGGCCCCGCCCCCAGGCCGCGTCTCCCAGGTCCCGCCCCCTCCGCCTGCTGCGGCGCAGGCCCGTCTCCTAGGCCCCGCCCCCTCCGCCTGTTCCACGCCCCCAGATCCTGGCCCCGCCCCTCCGACCGCAACTGCGCAGGCCTGTCCTCTAGGCCACACCCCCAGGGTCCCCGCCCCGCTCCTCCGCCTGCCTTTGCGCAGGCCCGCTCCCCGAGCCCTGCCAAGCATGGTGAACTTGGGCCTGTCCCGGGTGGACGACGCCGTGGCTGCCAGGCACCCGGTGAGAAGGCCGGTCTGGGACGCGGGCCTCAGATCCCAGAAGCTGACCTCAGCGAGGCAGAGGGGCTGGGGCGTGGGGGTGCCCTCGTCGGGGAAGAGTGGCGGAGGCTGGGGGCACTCTCTTGCTAGGGGGCTCAGGGCGTCCGGGTGGGCATAGGGGAGGTGGGACGTGTCCAAGCGCCCAGGGTCTCACTCCTCCACAACCAGGGTGTGCCCAGAGGAGGGACAGGAGAGGCGGTGAAGGAAGAGGGCAGGGGACCGAGCCTTCAGCCCCCGCTCTGCCACCCCAGGGACTCGGGGAGTATGCCGCATGCCAGTCACACGCCTTCATGAAGGGCGTTTTCACCTTCGTCACAGGTAGGCTGCGTCCAGGTGCCCTGCGGCTGGGAGAGAACGCACCCTCCTGCCCCGCCCTGGCTCCCCAGCAGGGGGCGCCAAGTCACCTGCCCGCAGGTGCTGGGGGCCTGGCCAGGTGGGTCCGGGCCAGCCCCGGGTACAGGCTGATGGGGACCTCGGCTTTTTGCAGGCACCGGCGTGGCCTTTGGCTTGCAGATGTTCATTCAGAGGAAGTTTCCATACCCTTTGCAGTGGAGCCTACTAGTGGCCGTGGGTGGGTACTCCAGGGCCCCTGCCTGGTCTCTTTGAGCCGTGGGTTTCTGCTAGCGTTGGGGCTGTGGTTCTGCGTTCCTGACTCTGACATGGACCCCCAGGTCTCCGCTGGAGCCCCACCTGAGCCCACCCACCCCGTCTGTCAGGAAGTAGCCTGTGCCCACTTCTCTTATCCTGAGAAGCACAGAGGCCCCAGCCCCCTTCCATGTCCTGCTCCACAGTTGCAGGCTCTGTGGCCAGCTATGGGGTGACGAGAGTGGAGTCGAAGAAATGCAGCAACCTGTGGCTCTTCCTGGAGACCGGGCAGCTCCCCAAAGACATGAGCACAGGTGAGAGAGCCTGGGGGTTAGCGAGAAGTGAACACCACAGCTCCAGCGCCCAGTGTTTTGGGCAGCCAAGCCTGGGTGCCCCACGTGATAGGCTAGACAGGGTCCCTCCCTCTGGTCCGGTCTCCTCAGCATGTGACTCCCAGATGGGTTGGAGCTGGGGGTGGGCCCAGTAGACAGATCTTGGAGATCTCCCTTTGCAGGAGAAAGAATCAAGAGGGGCTGGAGTGCCCCTGAGATGGAGAGGAAGGGCGTGGAGTGAGGGGTGTGGCAAGGCCACCGCAGCCACGTGGGCACCCAAGAGGAGTGAGGCTGGATTGAGAAGCCCTGCATTGGACCCAGGCCTGGCCCCCACTGCCTGTTGTCCTTGTTACAGAACCCAGTTTCTGCCATGATAAAATGGGCACAGTGACGCCACGCCACGACGGATATGGTTCAAGCTTGTCTCTCTCTGCCTCTTACAGATCGGCGAAGCCAGGAGAGTTCCGGCCGGGGCACAGAGGATTGGGGGCAGTAGGAGTCTGGAAAACAGCCTTCATGCCCCCCGACCCCAGGCTGACCCTCCCCACACCCTAGGGTACCCCGGTCATATCCTCTATCCGCATGCATGGCCAGGCCTGATAAACCTCTGCAGACGGCCGCTGCCCCAGCCTGGGACCTGCCCAGAAAGTTGGAGCAGAAGGGGCTCTCCTCTAGCTGGTGGTTCTCCTCTAGGGTATCGGGACGGATGGTCTGCACTGCCAGCAGAGAGGGTGTGTCTGGGGGCCACCACCTAGGGGGCACGGGGTAGAAGGGGCTTGTGCACTCTGTCATTCCCTTTCTAGCCCCTGCACCTCCGACAAGTCCAAGGTGCTAGGACTTGTGCTAGCTGGTGCTCGGGGTGTGGGGTTAATAAATGGCTTATCCTTCTCTCCACCCAAGTTTCTACCTGAGCAGGTGAAAAACAAACCAGAAGGGTAAGATGATGACAGGTCACATGACACCTTTATTACCCTACAGTTGATATATGAGGATCACATGCAAGTTACATACTGAGGATGTACAAGGAAGTTCCCAACGCCGAACCCCAGAATTAAATGTTCGCACCAGCTCTGTAGGCTGCGTGACACCACCACAGCCTCTCTGTATGGGGGTCTGCCTCTGCAGCACTTGGCATGTAGAGGCAGAGCAAAAGCGGCTAGGCTGGCCAGAGCCTGGCTGCTGGGAGAGGGGGAGCTTGTGGGTCACGCCCACCTGCCTGTCATTCCCCACTCGTCTGTTAGCCGAAGTCACTCCCCAGAGGCAGAGCTAGCCTGTTGTAGCTGTGTCTGTGGAGAAAGAAAGCTTCTGGGTAGGCAAGTCTGCCCACAGCCCGGAGCCCCAAGAGGAAGAAGAGGTGGAGACCAGACAGAACCTCCACAAGTCCATCAGGGTTACAGCTGGCTTCCCCGAAGCACTGAAGGCCCACAGCATGGTCCCTGCTGCCCCAGACCCAGCTCAGCCCCCACGCCTCACCTTGCCAGGCACTGGAAAGGAAGTTTATTGAGTACCTACTTGGCCTTCAAAGTGACAGGAAGCTCAAGGTGACAGTGGCTTCAGCAAGATGGAGCTTTATTTTTCTGTTTTTTTGTGTTGAGACAGAGTCTCACTCTGTCACCCAGGCTGGAACGCAATGGTGCAATCTCAGCTCACTGCAACTTCCACCTCGCCGGTTCAAGCCATTCTCCTGCCTCAGCCTCCCAGGTAGCTGCAATTACAGGCGCCCACCACCACGCCTGGCTAATTTGTATTTATTTATTTATTTATTTTTGAGATGGAGTTTTGTTCTTGTTGCCCAGGCTGGAGTGCAACGGTGCAATCTCGGTTCACCATAACCTCCGCCTCCCAGGTTCAAGCGATTCTCCTGTCTCAGCCTCCCCAGTAGCTGGGATTACAGGTATGCGCCGCCATGCCCAGCTAATTTTGTATTTTTATTTTGTATTTTTATCCATGTTGGTCAGGCTGGTCTCGAACTCCCAACCTCAGGTGATCCCGCCTCAGCCTCCCAAAGTGCTGGGATTACAGGCGTGAGCCACCGTGCACCGCGCCTGGCCGAGCTTTATTTTTTTTTCACGTAAAAGTACAAGTGAGTGGTCCAGGGTTGACAGGGAATCAGGGACCAGGCTCGTTTCAGTCTGTTCCCTGCTGTAGTGGCCTCTGTTCCCAAATCTGCCTCACGGCCCCAGGTGGCTGCACCAGTTCCGACCATTGTGTCTTTATCTCATTTAAGAGGGAAGAGAGAGGGCAGCTTGCCTGCCACTGCTGCTCTCGCTCTGTTGACCTGAACAAAGTCATCAGGTGCATCCAGTGCCAGGATGCTCAGGAAGGCAGAGTGCTCTGGGCAGCCATGCACCCACTAAAATTCAGGTGTTTTACATCTGAGGAAGAAGGACAGCAGGTAGGCTCTGCCTCAGCTAGATTGCAAGCCTGGCCCCCAAGAACAAGGGGGAGATGAGCGAACCACACCCTTAGCAGGACATCCCAGCACCCTGAGGGTAAGGCCTGGGTGGGAGGGAGAGGAGGCAGAACCTGGAGTTTGCCTGGACTGGCTTTCCAAAAACTGACCAGAAAGGGAAGGGATCTATATGACAGCACATGGGCGAAGGCCATTGTCGGGCTGGCTTGGGTCCCCTCACATTCCTGTTTTGAGGCCCTGACCCCCAGTACCTCTGCATGTCTGTGTTTGAGACAGGGGCTTTCCAGAGGTCATGAAGGTCAAATGAGGTCATTGGGGTGGGCCCTAACCCAACAGGACTTGTGTCCTCATAAGAAGAGGAAATTAGTACATAGACACACAAGAGGGACAGCCACATGTGGACACAGAGAAGACAGCATCTGCAAGCCAAGGAGAGGGGCCTAAGGAGACACCAGCCCTGCTGACCCGTGATCTCAGCCCCCAGCCTCCAGGCTGCTGTTCACACCCCCTAGTCGGTGGAGCCTTGTTTTTTTTTTGTTGTTGTTGTTTTGTTTTGTTTTGAGATGGAGTCTTACTCTCTCATGCAGACTGGAGTGCAGTGGCGTGATCTCAGCTTAACTGCAACCTCCACCTCCTGGGTTCCCAAGTAGCTGGGATTACAGGCACCTGCCACCACACTGGGCTAATTTTTGTATTTTTAGTAGAAGCGGGGTTTCACCATGTTGACCAGACTGGTCTCAAACTCCTGACCTCAGGTGACCCACCCGCCTCAGCCTCCCAAAGTGCTGGGATTACAGGTGCGAGCCACCTCACCTGGCCAGTGGCACCTTGTTATGGCTGCCTGAGCCTACTAAGGCAAGGCTGGGAAGAAGTACCGTATCTCGTGCATACCCCACAGAGTTCCAGGCTGCCTGGTACTCCAGGCACTCCCCTCTAAGGGAAGGGTGGAGGGGGTGCAGAGATGGAGAACTTACCCCTTCTGGAGTGACACATAAACCCAAGACCCAGTAATTCCCAAAGCAAAGTGGGGGTGAAGCAGTGTGGGCTCCAGGCAGCACAGAGAGGTCAAGGACAAAAGTCAGAAGAGATAAGGCAGGGGTGTCCCCAGAGCCAGGTTACCCGGGGCATGCAGTTTGGACTTGGGGCTGGAGGTGGGGGGTGCAGAGGGAGGTCCCAGAAGGCCGTTTCAGAACAGCTTTAGCAGGCTCATCCTGCTGCTTTATGGAGGATGGCTTGGGGCATGGGAGGGGGAGGGAGGAAACACAGTGCAGGTGTGGGGTGCTGGTGCACATCCGCCCGGCAGAGCTCCTAAACCGCAAGCAGCTGCCAGGAGACCCGTTTCAATTAGGACACACGTCTGGAGGCCACCCCAAGGTGGCTGGGGGCAGAATGGGTCAGGGAGGCCCTGCAATTCCAGGGTTGCCCAGGCACTGGGAATCCTGGCTCTCATCATAATGGGCTGAGGTTCTGGGGACAAGCTGAGTGGCAGCTCTGAGCCAGCTGAGCCCAGGGAAGCTTTGAGGCACACAGGGTCCCTGGGGGGGCCTGAGGGCAGCCATGAGGAGGCACAGCGAGACAGACGTGGAGGAGCAGACCCAGGAGCTGAAGACCATCACTCGGCTCCAGGGTGAGCCTGCACCGTGACCAGTCTCCCTTGCCCATCTGGGGGTTTCTGAGTGCACAACTTTTTGTGGGGAAAAGAAAGACCAGCTTGTTACTGTGTCTATGTAGGAAAGGACGACATAAGAAACTCCAGTTTGATCTCTACTAAGAAAAATTCTTCTGCTTTGAGATGCTGTTAATCTGTAACTTTAGCCCCAACCCTGTGCTCACAGAAATGTGTGCTGGATTGAAGCAAAGTTTAATGGATTTAGGGCTGTGCAGGGTATGCCTTGTTAACAATATGTTTGCAGGCAGTATGCTTGGTAAAAGTCGTCGCCATTCTCCATTAACCAGGGACACAATGCTCTGCGGAAAGCCGCAGGGACCTCTGCCCAAGAAAGCCTGGGCATTGTCCAAGGTTTCCCCCACTGAGACAGCCTGAGATATGGAAAGGAAAGATCTTACCATCCCCCAGCCCGACACCCATAAAGAGTCTGTACTGAGGAGGAGTGAACAGGGAGGACTCTTCGCAGTTGAGATAAGAGGAAGGCTTCTGTCTTCTGCTCATCCCTGGGAATGGAATGTCTGGTGTAAAGCTGACCGTTCCCATTCGTTCTATTCTGAGATAGGAGGAAACTGCCCTGTGGCTAGAGGCGAGATATGCTGGCAGTAATACTGCTCTGTCACTCTTTGCTACACTGAGATGTTTGTGTAACGTGAAACATAAATCTGGCCTATGTGCATATCCAGGCACAGTACCTTTCCTTGAACTTATTCATGATACAGATTCCTTTGCTCACGTTTCCCTGCTGACCTTCTCCCCACCTGTTGCCCTGCTACACTCCCCTCACCAAGAGTAAAAATAATGATCAGAGAATACTGAGGGAACTCAGAGACCAGGGCTGGTGCAGGTCCTCGCATGCTGAGTGTGCCAGTCCCCTGGGCCCACTGTTCTTTCTCTATACTTTGTCTCTGTGTCTCTTTTCTTTTCTTTTCTTTTTTTGAGATGGAGTCTCACTCTGTCGCCCAGGCTGGAGTGCAGTGGTGCGATCTCAGCTCACTGCAAGCTCCGCCTCCCGGGTTCACGCCATTCTCCTGCCTCAGCCTCCCGAGTAGCTGGGACTACAGGTGCCCGCCACCACGCCCAGCCAATTTTTTGTAGTTTTAGGAGAGATGGGGTTTCACCGTGTTAGCCAGGATGGTCTTGATCTCCTGACCTCGTGATCCGCCCACCTCAGCCTCCCAAAGTGCTGGGATTACAGGTGTGAGCCACCACACCTGGCGTCTGTGTCTTCTTTTCTCAGTCTTCATCCCACCTGATGGGAAATATCTGCAGGTGTGGAGGGGCAGGCCCCCTTCACTTTTAGGGGTTTATTTTGTTTGGAGACGGAGTCTCGCTCTGTCACACAGGCTCGAGTGCAGTGGCATGATCTTGACTCACTGCAACCTCCCCCTCCTGGGTTCAAGCGATTCTCCTGGCTCAGCCTCCTGATTAGCTGGGACATCAGGCATACGTCACCACACTCAGCTAATTTTTGTATTTTTATTTTTATTTATTTATTTATTTTGAGATGGAGTCTCGCTCTGTCGCCCAGGCTGGAGTGCAATGGTGCAATGTCAGCACACTGCAACCTCTGCCTCCCAGGTTCAAGTGATTCTCCTGCCTCAGCTTCCCAAGTAGCTGGGATTACAGGCGCCCACCACCACGCCCGGCTAATTTTTGTGTTTTTAGTAGAGACTGGGTTTCACCATCTTGGCCAGGCTGGTCTCAAACTCCTGACCTCAGGTGATCCATCCACCTCAGCCTCCCAAAATGCTGGGATTACAGGCATGAGCCACCATGCCCAGCTTATTTATTTTTTTGAGACAGAGTCTCGTTCTGTCATCCAGGTGGTGTGCAGTAGTGTAATCTCAGCTCACTACAACCTCCACCTCCCGGTTTCAAACAATTCTGCCTCAGCCTCCTGAGTAGCTAGGACTACAGGCATACACCACCACGCCCAGCTAGTTTTGTATTTTTAGTAGAGATGGGGTTTCGCCATGTTGGCCAGGCTGGTCTTGAACTCCTGACCTCAGGTGATCCGCCCACCTCAGCCTCCCAAAGTGCTGATATTACAGGCATGAGCCACCGCGCGCGGCCTAGGACTTTTAGTTTTAATACCAGGACAATCCAGGACATGGAGGAGCAATCAGACCCCTTACTGCCCACTCCTTGACAGAGCTGGGAGAAGGGATCAAAGGGACCTGCATGCAGGGACTGAATCAGAGAGTGGGGCTTCAAGGAGACTTGTGAGCATAAGAGCAACACGGGCTCCAAAGCCAGAAGGGACAGGAAAACGCCTGCCTACTTCCATGGGCAGCAGATCCGGAAGGGACCAGAGGACCCTGCCATCCCTCTCCTTTGCCTCACCCTCCCCACTTGTCCACCTCCCCGCACCTGTCCACTGAGAGCCCTTCAGACAGCTGCTGCTGGGCAGTGGAGCGGTGTCCCCCAGGACAGGGAGGGAGGAGGGATCTTGGCCGTGGAGGTGGCGTCCCCCTGGACCCTGGGGCCTCCCTGATGCGAGCCTCCCCGGGGGGATTTCAGGCCAGGCCCTTGGCCCAATCCTGGCCACTGTGTCCCCTCTACCTGCCCACAGAGCAGTGTCGGGCACTCCAGATCCAGGGGATGAAAGAGAATACGGACCAGAACAAGGCCACGCTGGCTCTCCTGCGCAGCAACATCCGCCGCGGGGCCCAGGACTGGGCTTTGGCCAAGAAGGTGCACAAATGCCGCCCCTCCCCTCTGCCTGGGGAGCAGGGCAGGAGCTAAGGACACACACACTCGGAGGGCGGGCACCTCCTCTCGCCCCCACCCCAATCTTTCTGGATCCAGGGGGCATGTGAGGAGGGGCTCTGCTAGGACCTGTGTCCTGGGCTCCAGTCACCCCAGCATCCGATGGGCAGGTTCCCCATCACCCACCCCGGAGGGCTTGGCTTCTGTGAGCCCACATCCTGCAGCAGGGGCCCCCTCTGGCTCTCTGGCCAGCTAGGGGACACCTGGGCCCTCCTCTGCATACCCTCCCACCACGTCGCCTCCGAACTTGGATGGCCAGGATGGAGTCCCGCGGCTCTCTGCTCCTCGTGAGAGCAGGGGTCTCGCTACTGGGCTAGCATGGGATACAAGAGGCCCTGGGGAGAATGCCTGGAGGGGCCAGCGGCTGCGGGTGAGCAAAGGGCCCGTCCTAGCTCAGCCGCCGCCGCTCCGCAGTATGACCAGTGGACCATCTCCAAGGCCTGCGGGAAAAACTTGCCTTTGCGACTGGCGCACTGCCGCAGTACCATGGAGGTAACCAGGCAGGAGGGGCCTCGAGACCCAACCCTCCCCACCCCTGCCAGCGCACCCCGCCCACTAGATGTTGCGGAGCCGACAAGGGACGGAGCAGGTGCCCAGCCCCAGGGTCCCTGTGGGGGTTGCCATGAGCCTCCATCCGCCCGCCTGCTGGCGAGCTCCATGGCGGCCCCCTGCGCAACCACGAGCGGGCGGTGCCCTTCCCGACCCAGGTGGCGCGGGAGAAGCTGCGCAAGTACGTCTTCGACCGCGTGAACACGCACAACCTACTGATCCACCTGGTGCGGCGGCGCGGGCAGAAGCTGGAGAGCATGCAGCTGGAGCTGGCCAGCCTGCGGAGCCAGCCGGACGCCAGCAAGGAGGAGCTGCGGCTGCTGCAGGTGGAAAGGCGGGGCTGGGAGGGCGGGGCGGGGTCCACTGGGGCCGGGCTCACGGGAGGGGCGGAGCCACCGGGGGGCGGGACTCGCGGGAGGGGCGGGTCCACTGGGGAGGGCTCAATGGAGGGGCGGGGCTAAGAGAGCACGACCCCCTCCGGAGAAAACCCAGCCCCGACACCATCGGGCGGCCGGTCCCCACGCCCTCTCACTGCGCCCTCGGTCTGCCCCAGATCATCCGCCAGCTGGAGAACAACATCGAGAAGACAATGATCAAGATCATCACCAGCCAGAACATCCACCTGCTGTATTTGGACCTGCTGGATTATCTGAAGACAGTGAGCCCAGCGGCCCGGGGAGGGCGGGGGTCTGGGGCTGGGATCTGGGAGGGGCGGGAGCGTCCTGGGGCGGAGCCACCCCGCACCCGCCAGAGAGGGAGCTCTGCTGGAGCACCGGCTACGCAGGACGGCAAGGCATGTGGAAAACGTTTTTTAAAACTTCATTTTTGGCTATTCCAAAAGAGCACATCGTGGGGTGTATCGGAATTCTTCGGACTTTCTGGCATGCATTAAATAATTTAGTATTGTTTGTATCTTGCCCGTCATTTTCTCATTGCCTGGGCCTCTGAGAGTCAGAGACAGGTCCTGCACCCTCAGAAAGTCCTTGCACCTTTGAGGGTCCGCTGGGCCTGTAAGCACGGCTTGCTGCCGTCCCAGCCAGCCCACCCGCCCTGCTCCCTGCAGACGAGGCCAAAGGCAGCCAGCAGTCCGATTGTGAGGGAAGACCCCCTTCATGGGAGGCTGAGCACCGCCCCTCGGGCTGCCACAAAACAGAACCTGCTCCAGATGGACTGTAGATGGGGAAGGAGAGCACAGGAGATGCCAAGAGGAGCAACCTGTGGACGGGGCCGAGAGCCAGCTGGAAAGAGGGGCAGGCGAAGCCCCCCAAACACCGTCACCCTAAGATTGGGCAAAGGGGCGCTCTGGAGAGCCATGCTCCGGGAAGGTGACAGCAGTGCACTTTAGGAGAGTGGTGGATGGGGTGGCATCGCAGCTCTTTCCTGCTGCGGTCCCAGTCCAGGTGGCTCTCAGCTCCGTCCTCTGCTTGTCCCTCTTGCCTTGGCCCCTGATCCTATTGGCTCACCTGGAAGCCCTGCCCCTCTATCCTTCCTGGGCCCACCCCTCTCCCCACCCCTGTCCATGCCCCTCCTTCACCTGGGTGCTTTCTCTCCCCCAGGTAGCGCCTTCTTCTCTTTAGAACATACACACTTAAAAAATAATTATTCCTGGCCTGGGCATGGTGGCTCATGCCTGTAATCCCAGCACTTTGGGAGGCCAAGGCAGGTGGATCACTTGAGGTCAGGAGTTCGAGACCAGCCTGGCCAACATGGTGAAACCCCATCTCTACTAAAAATACAAAAATTAGCCAGGCATGGTGGTGCACATCTGTAATGCCAGCTACTCAGGAGGCTGAGGCACAAGAATCACTTGAACCCAGGAGGCAGAGGTTGTTGTGAGCCGAGATCGCACCATTGCCCTCCAGCCTGGGTGATAGAGCAAGACGCAGTCTCAGAACAATGGAAAAAACAAACAATAATTCCCATAGTCGTCCATATTTTTAAAAATGAAGATTCTACACTTGTGGTTTTGTTTTTTTGAGATGGAGTTTCACACTGTTGCCCCAGCTGGTGTGCAGTGGTGCGATCTCGGCTCACTGCAACCTCCGCCTCCCAGGTTCAAGCGATTCTCCTGCCTCAGCCTCCTGAGTAGCTAGGATTACAGGTACCCACTACCACGCCCAGCTAATTTTTTGTATTTTTAGTAGAGACAGGGTTTCACTATGTTGGCCAGGCTGGTCTTGAACTTCTGACCTCATTATCCGCCCGCCTCGGCCTCCCAGTGTTGAGACTACGGGGTGAGCCACTGCGCCCGACCTATACTTGTAGTTACTGAAAAAATACTATAGCAAAGCCATCCTGAGCACGTATGTACCTGGTTCTGGGCTAAATAATTCCTTTCACACTTTTTTTTTTTTTTTTTTTGAGACGGAGTCTCGCTCTGTCGCCCAGGCTGGAGTGCAGTGGCTGGATCTCAGCTCACTGCAAGCTCCGCCTCCCGGGTTTACGGGGTTTCACCGGGTTAGCCAGGATGGTCTCGATCTCCTGACCTTGTGATCCACCCATCTCGGCCTCCCAAAGTGCTGGGATTACAGGCTTGAGCCACCGCGCCCGGCCATCCTTTCACACTCTCAATTCATCCTGACGACAACCTTCTGAATGAGCCATCATCTTACAAATGGGGACACTCAGAGAGGTTAAGTAACTTTCCCAGTGTCACACAGCCAAGCTAGCTGGTTGGAAGCTGCGTTGGCCTCGAATCCTCTCTGACCCCGAGCCCATGTCTTGAGCCCCTCTGCTTCACTTCAAAGCAAAGCTGCCCCAAACCTCCCTGGGTTTCGGAGTCAGCCTTTTCTGCAGATAATTTCATCATAAATTCTTTCAGTGTCTCTGGGTTGCTGGACCCTAGGTGGTGGAAGAGTTCACCAGCCCAGCACTGCCCACTCCCTGTGAAACACTTCCTTTCATCAGCTTTGTGCCCAGCGGGGAGTGGAGGAGGTGACCAGGGCCACAGAGCAGAACCTATCACTGTTCTGAGGGCTCTTAGTCTGGAGATGAAAGCTGGGGACAACTGCAGCCCACTCTGGGGGCCACAAGAGAACCTCATTTAACACAGGTGCTGGCAGGATACCCCATAGAGCTGGACAAGTTGCAGAACCTCGTGGTCAACTACTGCGCGGAGCTGTCGGATATGAAGATCATGTCCCAAGACGCCATGATGATCACGGATGAGGTCAAGGTGAGCTTAGGGCTTAGGGCTGGGGGCCCTCCAGGGCCGGCTCTCTTGCATCTTTGGATGAGGTCAAGGTGAGCTCAGGGCCCAGGGCTGGGGGCCCTCCAGGGCTGGCTCCTCTTGTGTCTTCCTGGCCAGGGTCCCTCAGGAGACCCCCATGCCCACACTGTCTACAATCCCTGGAAGGATCCAGTGGCCAGCCCGGACAGCCTGCTCTGCTCACCCACTGGACAGAGCAGGTTCCACCAGGCACAGGAGCCATGAAGTAGAGAAGAGGGAGAATTGGCCAGGCCAAGGCGGGGGTCACCCATTCACCCAGTGGGTGCCAAGGCCCCTGCAAGGCTCTGGATATACAGCAGGGACCAGGACAGGCAGGCCCCGTCCTCCTGAAGTGGGTGGCACTCATCCAGTAGTCCATGAAGAAATGCCACACAGCCCCAAGCCAGCTTGGCAGAGGTGGGGTGGCAGATGGCTTTCCAGGGAGGCAGTGCTCGAGCTGGGCTGAGGGAGTGAACCCACAAAGGTCGGGGGTGGCCAGGGCTAGGGAGGAGGAGGTACAACTTGGGCAAAGGCCCTGGGCCGGGAGGGGCGTGATACAGGCAGCAGTGTGTGGCCAGGGCAGTGAAGGCTGCAGAGGCACAGGCCCCAGGAGTCCATGGAGGCGGCTGGGCCGGGGGCCCAAGGACTGACCTGGAGCCCTGGGAGGAGGTGGAGGGAAGATGTGCCCAGGTCTGTGCTTCAGAAAGGGTGCGCTCAGGCTGCGGGGACTGGAAGGTGCCAGGGTGGAAGCGTTGACCACCTAGGCAGGCCGGGGGTGGTGAAGGGGTGGCCAGGAGTGACGGAGCCAAGAAGTCCTCAAGAGGTAACCCCACTAAGCACTGGCAACGTTGAGTGGCGAGGGTGAGAGCAGTGTCTGGGATGCATGAGCGGGGTGGACAAATGGTGGTTTTAGCTACTCAAGGGCATGCTGGAAGAGGCCAGGTTTTGGGGAAGAGGATGAATTTGTTTTCAGGCAGGCTGAATCCACTTCTGGGAGTTCTACGTGGACCTGGCCAGGAGGCAGCTGGGGGCCAGGGGCTGGAGGGCAGCAGAGTGTCTGGGCTGGCACATGCTCTGAGAGGCATGGGCAAGGAGGGTCCTGAGCGGAGGGGCCACGGGCATGGGCATGAGTGGTTTAGGAAGACGGTGTGGCCAGTGGCCGGGGATGCAGTTCTGAAGTCTAGTAAGGTGAGGATGGCCAACTGCCCACTGACTTTAGTGCCATGAGGGGCCTTGTTGAGACAGCTCCCCAACCCTGTGCCCACCCACGTGTCCCCAGAGGAACATGAGGCAAAGGGAGGCGTCCTTCATCGAGGAGCGCAGGGCGAGGGAGAACCGGCTCAACCAGCAGAAGAAGCTGATCGACAAGATCCACACGAAGGAGACCAGCGAGAAGTACCGCCGGGTGAGCCCCAGGCCAGGGCCCAGCCAGCTGCCCGTCCCCACAACAGCGGGGTGGACACAGGCTCAGGGCCACCACTTGGGCCCACTCCCTGCCAAGGATGTCTCATCCCTTCCCCGCTCCCACCTCCCATCAGGGCCAGATGGATTTGGACTTCCCCTCCCACCTGATGAGCATGGAGACCTTGAAATGTAAGCGCTCAGCTCCCCACCTGCCCCCCACCCAGGGTCCCAAGGAGAGGTCGGCACTGGCTCGGGCCAACGGATCAGGTCAGCCTGAGGCCAGGTGTGACATGCAGTCGCCAGGGTGAAGGGAAGGACAGGTCCCTGCCTCTCCCCCGAGAGGCTGAGAGCCTGCAGCCAAATGTGGCCTCAGAGATGCTGGCCCCAGCACCCAAGGGCCCAGTCCCCAGTGACGGCAGAGGATGAGCAACCTGACCCCTAAGCTGCCTCTGAGAGGTACCACTGGGCCCACAGTGCCACGCTATTTCAGGTCCGCCTCTGCTCTGGGGCTGCCTGGGGGGTCCCTGCAGGGCTGGACTGAGGAGGGAGCAGATGGGGGAGCAGGCACCTCTGAAGGACGCCTGTGCCTTGGGTGGCCTCCGCAACAGCTGGGCAGGTACAGAGGTGTCCGGTGGTCTTACACAGAGCCCCTGAGCCATCCCTGCATGCTGACTGCCCCTCCCCTCTGCTCTGCCAGTAAGGAAACAAGAGACCTCCACAGCGGAAATGGAATACCAGGCGGGCGTGACTGCTGTGGTGGAGAAGGTCAAGAGCGCTGTACGGTGCTCTCACGTCTGGGTAATGCCCCTGGCGCTCCCGGAGCATGGCAGGAGGGTGGCTGAGCCTCTCACATCTGGGTAATGCCCCTGGCGCTCCCGGAGCATGGCAGGAGGGTGGCTGAGCTGGGCTGGGGTCTGCAGTTGCTCTGGAATGGACACACAAAGTGGCAGCTCCCTCGGCCGCCCCAAATTCTTTTATCTTAATCCCATCTGCATTTATTATTATCAGGCCTTGAGTTCCCAGCCACTGCCCTGACACAAGCTTGTCCACTGTCAGACAAGTGACTCGAGTGACACAGTGCCCCTCAGTGATGATCCCCTTATCTCTACACGGGGTTATCTACTCTCTCTGCCTGCCATGAGGGTCGTGTGCAATGACACCCACAAAGCGTTTCACCCCTGCTGAGTGTGGTAGTGCACACCTGTGGTCCCAGCTACTCAGAAGGCTGAGGTGGGAGGGTCGCTTGAGTCTGGGAGGTTGAGGCTGCAGTGAGCTGTGATCACACTTGTGAATGAGTGCAGAGAAAGTGCACTTGGCCGGGCGCGGTGGCTCAAGCCTGTAATCCCAGCACTTTGGGAGGCCGAGACGGGCGGATCACGAGGTCAGGAGATCGAGACCATCCTGGCTAACACGGTGAAACCCCGTCTCTACTAAAAATACAAAAAATTAGCCGGGCGCGGTGGCGGGCACCTCTAGTCCCAGCTACTCGGGAGGCTGAGGCGGGAGAATGGCGTAAACCCAGGAGGCGGAGCTTGCAGTGAGCCGAGATAGCGCCACTTCACTCCAGCCTGGGCGACTGAGTGAGACTCTGTCTCAAAAAAAAAAAAAAGAAAGTGCACTAGCCTCTGGGAGGGGCCCAGAAGAAACCAGTTCTGTGAAGCCCCCTCTGCCCACCTTCCTCGCCCACACCTGCTTGTCTCTCCCCTGGAATGGCCAGGACATCGCTGGCCGCTTCCTGGCCCAGAGGAACACGGAGGAGAACCTGGAGCTGCAGATGGAGGACTGTGAGGAGCGGCGGCTGCAGCTGAAGGCCCTGGTGAAGCAGCTGGAGCTGGAGGAGGCTGTGCTCAAGTTCCGCCAGCAGCCTAGCTCCATCAGGTGCCCCGGGCTTCCGGGGCTGTGGGTCACCCACCATGGTCTCATGAAGGCCCCTGGGCTGCAGCCAGGCTGGGAGCTGGGAGTGTACCCACTGCCAACAAGCCTGTGTGTCCCACAGAGGGGCCGGGGGACTTGCACACACCTGAGCTTCTGAGTCCCTGACTCTAACACGGAACCCAACTCAAGACCGGGCTCCTGGGTGGCCCACCATGGCCCTCGGGCCTGTGCCCCTCACTGCTGTGTCCCTATTGCCTTCTGCAGCTTCAAGTCCATTGAGAAGAAGATGACAGACATGTTAAAAGAGGAAGAAGAGAGGCTCCAGCTCGCGCAGAGCAACATGACCAAGGGCCAGAAGCTGCTGCTAACCATCCAGACGGGCATCGACAACCTCTATGTCCGGCTAATGGGCATCACCTTGCCTGCAACCCAGGTACCGGGAGTGAGGCGGAGCTGCCACACATGGGGTCCCTGGGCAGGGCCAGAGGGGAGATGAGACCCTCCTCCCGGCCTACAGAAAGAAGAAGTGCCCTCCGACACCCTCGATTTGAACAGCAAGCTGGCGTACTGCGAGGGGAAGCTCACATACCTGGCTGACAGAGTGCAGACGATGTCCAGGACCGAGGAGGTAGCCCCGGGCTGGGAGGAACCTGCACAGCCCACATCCCCTCAAAGCTGACAGCCCCCCGTTCACAGTGTCTGCACGGCTGAAGGGGGCTTTGCCCTGCAGGGTGACACAAAGGTGAGGAATGCCCTGGAGTCCTCGACTCTGAAGGAGAAGTACAACACCAGGATCAGCTTTGAGGACCGCGAGGAGGATATGATCGGTACAGGCTCCGGAGCTGGGGCTCGGGCTGCAGGCGGGTGGAACAGAGGTGGGGGTGGCGCTGACTCCCATCCCACCGGGATATCCTGGAGGCACAGCGGGGCTACAGGGTGCATCAGTTGTACCTGCAGGACTTCAATTGATGGAGGTGACTTAGTGATGCCATGGGGAGGCTAAAGCCACTGAAATACCTTATTAATTTCTCCGAAAGGAGGAGGCATGACATGCCAGACAGGCCCGCAGGAGAGGCACCAGGGCTGGAGCAGGGAGGAGGGCGGGGAAGGCCTGGGCCAGAGCCTCCACTGGGGTTTCCGCGGGAAAGGCTAAGCAGGGCAGTGTGAGCCGCTGAGGATGGGCTGGGCTGAGTCCTCCCGGCACACTGGGGCTGTCCCTGGGGCAAGGCACCTGGCTCGGGTCTGTAGAGGGCGGGGGTGATAGGCGGGTCGGGCGGCTGTGCCTGGGTGGGCTAGCCCCGGGTGCGAGCCGCTGCCTCCGCCCGCAGACACCTTCCAGTTCGCCGACGTGGACCACAGCTACGTCCCTTCGCGCGCCGAGATCAAGAAGCAGGCGCAGCGGCTGATCGAGGCGAAGCTCAAGGCGGCCAAGAAGAAGAAGAAGTAGCCCCGCCGCCCCGCTCCCTGCTTTGTTACACAAATAAACATTTTTCCAGGACTGCTGCGGACGCTGGGGCGACCGGGCTCTCGGAGAGGAGCACCGGGCACGCAGGATTCTCGGAGAAGTTCTAAGCGGGGAGGCGGCCCGGGCCGGGAACTGCGCGCCAGAACGGCCTGCGCATGCGCCGGCCGCGGGCGCCGCGCCCCATGGCCCTCGCGACGCCCTGTAGCCGCGCGCCCCTCGCGTCCCGCCGAGCCGGCGCCAAGATGGCGGCGCTGACGCCTGGAGAGCGGCCGCGCCGGAGGCCGCGGGGGCCCGAGCGGAGCAGCAGCCGCTGAGGTTCCCGAGTCACCGCTCGAGGCTGCGCCCCGGTCTCTGACCGCGCCGGCTCCGGCCTCCGGGGGGACCGGGGCCGCCGGGACATGGTGCGAGTCGCACCCCTTCCCCGCCGCCGCTGAGCTCGCCGGCCGCGCCCGGGCTGGGACGTCCAAGCGGGAAGATGTTTTCCGCCCTGAAGAAGCTAGTGGGGTCGGAGCAGGCCCCGGGCCGGGACAAGAACATCCCCGCCGGGCTGCAGTCCATGAACCAGGCGTTGCAGAGGCGCTTCGCCAAGGGGGTGCAGTACAACAGTGAGTGCGGCGGGCCGGGGTGGGCGCGGGAGCGCCGCGCGGGTCTCCGAGCCCAGGCCCTGCCCGGAGCGCCGCGCGGTGGTGGCTGTCGGTCTCGCCTGCTTGCCGGTTGTGGGGTGCGCTGGACCCGCCGGGCGCTCCGGGAGCTGGGGCGCGGGCCAGGGGACGCTAGGAGAGGCCGGGCCGGGGCTGGGTCCTCGCATCACCGGAGCCGGGGGTCGTTTCCCAACCGCGTTCGCCTGCCGCGTGTCGCTCCCGCCGCGCTGTGCAGTGGAGCGGGTCGGCGGTGCCGGGATTGGCCCGGCTGCCGGCCCGGGGGTGATTACATAACGCCAAGCAGGGCCCGCCGACCCGGGGCGCCGCGTCCCCGACGCTCCACGGTGGCCAGCCCCGGGCACCTCTCACCTGGAGGAGGTGCGGGGAAACCTGCCGGCCTTGGCGCTTTCAACGGGATTTTTCTTTGTTGACTTCCTACTGAGTTCGAAGGCAGAATATTAGCTACGCCACACATTCTCGTCTTTTTGTTTGTTTTTTTTTAAAGAAGCATTTGTAAGGGACGTATCTAGAAAAGCTCCAGAAGGCACGGACTGACTTGCGATTGTAGGAGACAGCCCATTCCTCCTGAGGAGGAGTCATTTACGGACTCCTGAGCGCCTGGGACGCTCCATTCCTTTGTTATAAATTATGTAAATTGTCCTCGACCTCTTTTGAGTTTTTCCGTTTTGCAGGCTCTTTCCCAGTAGTTTTTAAACGGTTTTATGTCGTTCCCTGCTTTGGCATTGTTTCCCTCTTAGCCATTTCCGTATGTTTCTATCAGATATTAGGACGCTACGCCTGTCCAGTTTTTTGGTCACCTTAAGGGGAGCCTTATAGTCTGCGCGATGTTTCTATGGTAATATACGATTTTAAGAACTAATAATCAGAAAGACTCTTGTGCAGGTTTAAAAACAAGTTCATGAATTCGCCTGCCGTGTCCACGGAGATGGGCCGTAGTTCTTGGCCGTAGGGACTGGACTGGAGCTAGTCCAGGAGGACAGTGAAGATGTCGCCTTCCTTAGTCCCGGCCACCGTCTGGCCTGTGAGCAAGAGGAAGCTGCAGACCACTTGGGCCGCCCTCACCCTGACACCTTCAGCAGTAAGCAAGATAAAACAACTTCTTAAAGATAAGTCTGAGCATCTAGGTATGAAAGTTGGTGTCCGGGCCGGGCATGGTGGCTCATGCCTGTAATCCCAGCACTTTGGGAGGCCGAGGCGGGCGGATCACGAGGTCAGGAGTTCGAGACTAGCTTAGCCAACATAGTGAAACCCCGTCTCTACTAAAGATACAAAAAAAAAAAAAAATTAAAAAAAAAAGTTCGTGTCCGAACCAGGGGCCGTATTGGCCTTTCTTATACTCTAGAGCATACGAAGACAAAGGACATTTTGATGAAGTTCAAATTGGAGTCAGAGTGCTCATCGGAAAGAAGGCGCAGCTAACACGTTTAGGAACAGAAATGGATTATGTTGAAGACAAATTATCCATTGTGTTTGTGTTCAGTAACCCAAGCATCAAAGGAACTTGTGGCTGGGGAGAAGGCTTGACTATTTGCAATCTCAGGATTCCTCTGGCCGGAGCTCCCGGACTCCTGTGGAAGCCTGGGGGCTCGCTGAAGAAGTCACGTGACTGGAACCTGCTTAGTGCTCTGCTGTCTGGTAAGGAAAATAAAGCGGTACATTTTGAATAAAAATAAAAGCTCATTTTAAATGTGTTATAATTGAAACTTTATGTATATCTGGCATTCGGAGAAGAGAATATTGAGTTAAAATACTGAGTTTACGCAAGTCTTTAGACTCTGCATTTGGATCCTTTATTTAATTTTATTGCTTATAATATTGGCTAAGCTCAGTATTAGTCCCTGGGAAATTAGGCCTGGACCTGGAAACTGTTCACCTTCTGAAAAGGCTCCCCAAGGGTCCTGGGCGAGGTCCACCTTACGCACCAGGACCACCCCTGCGAGTGTGACTAAAAAGGGCAATAGGGTCCTTCCAGAGGAGAAAAGCCAGTCTCCAGTACTTGGAGGACAGGTTATGATCTCCTAGAACTGAATGAAAGGTGGTGAGACTGAGAGAAATTCAGATTTGTACCTAAATTACATTTTAGAAAGATGTCGTCTTTATAGTTGAATAATATGTAGTTTTTTAACTTTTGAGTTTCTGTGTTAAAATAGAAAGTGTCTAGTATTTATTTTCTTATCTCTTTTTTTTTTTTTGAGACGGAGTCTCGCTCTGTCGCCCAGGCTGGAGTGCAGTGGTGTGATCTCGGCTCACTGCAAGCTCCACCTCCCGGGTTCATGCCATTCTCCTGCCCCAGCCTCCCGAGTAGCTGGGACTACAGGCGCCGCCACCTTGCCCGGCTAATTTTTTGTATTTTTAGTAGAGACAGGGTTTCACTGTGTTAGCCAGGATGGTCTTGATTTCCTGACCTCGTGATCCTCCTGCCTCGGCCTCCCAAAGTGCTGGGATTATAGGCGTGAGCCACCGCGCCTGGCCTTCTAATATTTATTTTCTCAAATATTTTACAGAGGGTAACAGACCAGCAGTGTGACCAAGACAGAGATGAGGGTTTTTAGGGATGAGAGTTTCCAGGAACTGCTGCTGGTTTCCAGGAGTCTGGGCCCTCCTCCTGGGCCCTGCGTTTGCTCAGAGTCACTAGCGGCCCGGCAGAGGCCCAGGACACCCATCGGTTTTAGAATGAAAACTCGAATGAGACATTGGGCTATAGTTGATTAAAAAAAAAAGTCAAACTCTGTCTAATATTTGAAGAGATTTATTTTTGAGCCGCACATGAGTGACCATGGCCCATGACACAGCCCTCAGGTGACCCTGAGGACATGTGCCCACGTTGGAGGGCACAGCTTGGTTTTATGCATTTTAGATGTGAGGCATTGATCAAATACATTTAAGATATACAATGATTTGGTCCACAAAGGCGGGACAACTTGAAGTGGGGGCCTCCAGGTCAGAGGTAGGTTTAAAAAAATTTTTTTTTGCTGGGCGCAGTGGCTCACGCCTGTAATTTCAGCACATTGGGAGGCCGAGGCAGGTGGACTACCTGAGGTCAGGAGTTCAAGACCAGCCTGGCCAACATGTCGAAACCCCGTCTCTACTAAAACTATAAAAATTAACCGGGGGTGATGGTGGGTGCCTGTAATCCCAGCTACTCAGGAGGCTGAGGCGGGAGAATCGCTTGAGCCCAAGAGGCGGAGGTTATAGCAAGCCGAGATTACGCCACTGCACTCCAGTCTGGGTGACCGAGTTAGACCCTGTCTCAAAAAAAAAAAAAAAGGCCGGGCGCGGTGGCTCAAGCCTGTAATCCCAGCACTTTGGGAGGCCGAGGCAGGTGGATCACAAGGTCAGGAGATCGAGACTATCCTGGCTAATATGGTGAAACCCCGTCTCTACTAAAAATACAAAAAACTAGCCGGGCGTGGTGGCGGGCGCCTGTAGTCTCAGCTACTTGGGAGGCTGAGGCCGGAGAATGGCGTGAACCCGGGAGGCGGAGCTTGCAGTGAGCCCAGATCACGCCACTGCACTCCAGCCTGGGAGACACAGCGAGACTCCGTCTCAAAAAAAAAAAAAAAAAAAAAAAAAAAATTTGCACCGCCACACCTAGCTAGTTTTGGTATTTTTTAGAGAGACAGGGTTTCACCACGTTGCCCAGCTAGGCTCAAACCCCTCTGCTCAAGCAATCTGAACCCCCTGGCCTCCCAAAGTGCTGGGATTACAAGTGTGAACCTCTGCGCCCGGCCAGATTGTTTCTTATCAGACTTACAGTTAGCGTTGATGTTAAATGCTGGTGAGCTTTTCCTGAATTCCAGAAGGGAGGAGGCCATAATGAGGCGTGTCTGACTCCCCTCTTCCCATAATGGCCTGAACCAGTCTTTCAGATGAAATTTGGATGGCCCTGGCCTAGAAGAGGAAGTCCATTCAGATGGTTGGCAGGCCTTGGGATTTTAATTTTGGTTTACACAATTTTGAAATTATTTGCATATAAAATTATTTGGAAAATTATTTGAAATTATTTGGAAGAAAGATTGTTGCCTGAATTGGTCTGTCCCTTTCTACTGTGATTGGACACAAAAGATCAGCTTATTTGGTGCAGAATTTTTCTGTGGTGTTGCTCCTGAGTGAGCATTATTGCGCAACTCTGATACCGGCCGGGCCCAGGAGCTCGAAAGCCAGAGTCCTCTCCAAGTAGACATTGGTGCAAATTTAGAAATGGGACTTAGCAGGCCGAGCGCGGTGGCTCACACCTGTAATCCCAGCACTTTGGGAGGCTGAGGCAGGCGGATTACATGAGGTCAGGAGTTCAAGACCAGCCTGGCCAACATGGTGAAACTCATCTCTACTAAAAATACAAAATTAGCCGGGCGTGGTGGCGCATGCCTGTAATCTCCAGCTACTCGGGAGACTGAGGCAGGAGAATCACTTGAACCCGGGAGGCGGAGATTGCCGTGAGTGAAGATTGCACCACTGCACTCCAGCCTGGGCGACAGAGTGGGACTTCGTCTTAAAAAACAAAAAGAAGGCCGGGCGCGGTGGCTCAAGCCTGTAATCCCAGCACTTTGGGAGGCTGAGATGGGCGGATCACGAGGTCAGGAGATTGAGACCATGCTGGCTAACACGGTGAAACCCCGTCTCTACTAAAAAAATACAAAAAATTAGCTGGGCGAGGTGGCGGGCGCCTGTAGTCCCAGCTACTCGGGAGGCTGAGGCAGGAGAATGGCGTGAACCCAGGAGGCGGAGCTTGCAGTGAGCTGAGATCCGGCCACTGCACTCCAGCCTGGGCGACAGAGCAAGACTCCGTCTCAAAAAAAAAAAAAACAAAAGTTTATATGAATATCCAGTCAAAACCAACATGGAAAGTATTACCCTTGAAATGTTATCTGTACGAATTTCCAAGGAGACCACAGGACTGTAGACTGTCTTGGAATGTCCTCAGAAGGCTCTGTCACTGATCAGGTAACAGAGTAAAAACCCCAGCATCCTTTCTTTCAAATGGGAGGGGGAAAGACAGAGGGACAGAAGCTGTTCAAACTTTGTCTTCTTTCTTTGTGGCTTGTGGTCACCTCTGCGTCCTCAGAAGCTGCCTCGCCCTCCAAAGCCTTCCCGGCTTCTGCCCCTACCTCATCCTCCAAAGCCGCCTCTAGCTCCATCACAACCCCCAAAGCCACCTTTGCCCTTAGGTTTGGCCTAGTCCAAGTTACCTTTGCTTCCCTCAATTTCACCATCTTCCGTGGCCTCCTTGGCAGCTTTGGCATCCTCCTCACTGTTGACATTTATAGAGCCAAAGCCTTTGGAGCATCCGGTTTCCTAGTTGGTGACTACCCTTGCCCAACAAAGCTGTCGAATGACTGAAGTCTCTTCAGTGGTGTCGTCAGACCTTTGACAGTTTTAGATGGCCGGCTTCTGGCAGTAGGTGATCCTTGCAACTCCAGCCTGTTTGCTCTGCCCCCAATTTCCCTTTTATTATAGGAATGTAAAGCTTCTTTATCATCTTCAAATGAAGCAGACTCTATCAATGCAAGCACACCCTTTAGATTTGCTGTTTTGGTTCTGAGGCATTTTCATAAAAGCTGTCTTCTCAGATACTTCCTGAAGAGTGTCTTCTGTTGCACTGTAGGAGAGGTTGCTTAAACCAGAGTTTCTGATTCACCACTCCAAGCGCTGTGCTCTCCATCACTGTAGAGTCTCGATTCTGACCTTTCTCTCCATCATAGCGCAGGGAAATAGATCGGCCATCAATCTCTGTTCCCTGCGTTTCTTAAGAAGTTTTCTCTGCATCAGCTTCTGTCTTAACCTCAGTATAAGCAGTCCCTTTACTCTTCCCATCCTTGCTAACTAATCTGATCATCCACAGCATCAGCTCCGCCTTCTGGGTTCACGCCATTCTCCTGCCTCAGCCTCCTGAGTAGCTGGGACTACAGGCGCCCGCCACCACGCCCAGCTAATTTTTTGTGTTTTTAGTAGAGACGGGGTTTCACCATGTTGGCCAGGCTGGTCTCAAATTCCTGACCTTGTGATCCGCCCACTGCGGCCTCCCAAAGTGCTGGGATTCCAGGCGTGAGCCACTGGGCCTGGCCCGTAGATACTAGTTTCTAACTCAGGACAGACTTGTTAAAGTTGAGGTTTCCAACAAAGATTGAAAGATGCTCCAGCCTGGCCACAGGTGAAATCCCGTCTCTACTAGAAATACAAAAAGTAGCCAGGTGGTAGTGATAACCGCCTGTAATCCCAGCTACTCAGGAGGCTAAGGCAGGAGAATCACTTGAGCCTGGGAGGTGAAGGTTGCGGTGAGCCGAGATCGTGCCGCTGCACTCCAACCTGGGTGAGAGAGTGAGACCCTGTCTCAAAAAAAAAAAAAAAAAGACGCGGTTGGTTCTATGCTTTGCACTTTCCACTTTCTGTTTCTTGGCTTCAGAAGCTGCTGTTTGGTCATTTCCTTCGTTTTCCAGGTGCTTCTTTGACAGACACTTCCTCCTCTTCGTCATCTTCATCACTTCATCCTCTCCGTCATCGTCACCCTCGTCCTTGTCCTCATCATCCTCTTCACCTTCATTCTCAGCCATCCTCCTGGCTTTCACAGGAACAGCTTTCGTAGAAGCTTTTCTTTCCCTTGGCTGCTGCTGTCTCCATAACTGCTGCTTCAGAGC